TTGTGGTTACCCTCATCTGTCTCAGTCTTCCTGTTGCCTTCTTTTCCTGTCTGTGTTTTTTCTTCTTTTTATAAGGACTTTATAAGATTTAGGGCCCATCCTACACATGGGATACTCTCAGCTCAATATCTTTCATTGAATTTCAGCTGCAAAGACCCTACTTCAAAATAAGATCACACTCACAGGCACGGATGCTCAGAATGTGGACATAATTTTGGGCATATTATTTATCCATTACAAAATGAGATGCAAAAATAGCAGTCAGGGTTAATAGTACACCTGATTCTTTTTATGAAAGCCATCCCTATACCATTCGGTCATAATAAACTATTTCAGGATCTTCCATCCATTTAGTTATTTTGATTTCTGGACTCAATACAAATTCTCATATTTAATTGGAATAAAAGTCTGAGTTAGACAAAGTGTTTATTACATACTCAAAGTGAGGATTAGAACTCAGGAAATGGTCCACAGATTATATTCTGGACCATTTCAACAAACAGAAGTTTAAATTTAGAGGTAGGAACAGTGAGGCAATGACACTGGTTTAATTATTCTTGACAGAGGCTTCTGGGTTTAAATTGCTTTGACCTAAAGATGCATTGATGCTATCTATGACAGAGGAAAACAATGCAGGGATTTAATCTCTTCTAAAGAATGCCCCATGGGAATGCAAAGACTAGATGCCCATTATTTAAGTCTTCTTTATCCAGTTGCGGGGACAAAAGATGGGTGGGCAATAGATTTTGTACAGTGGTTTTACAGATATCTAAGTCTGTACAAAAGGTTTTGCTCTCGTTAGCTAGAGCAGGGAGGAGTTGGCTCCAGAACATTTTACAGTAAGTCCACACTCACTTCCTGTTGCTCTCAAATTGGAGCTCTTTTAATTGCCAGTGGCACAGAGCTCCCATTGTGTAGAAGGCCTTACCCCTTCCGTACGGATGTCTCTGACAAAAGGTGGAAGGTAACGCTGTACACTGAGGCTCATTCTCCGTTAAATGGAGTGTTTCTGCCTGTGCTGCACATTGTTACTTTGGACTCAAAGACTTTGTCCCTGGAGGATGCCCCAGTTTGAGCAGCTGAAAATGATGCTCAAGGTTAGGGATGTTTCTTGCACAATTAATTCATTTAGCCATTTCTTATTCTTTCTAAGATTTTTTTCTTTTCCATTTAATAATTAGAGACTGATAGGCTACTTTGCTAGGTGAAGCAAAGGGTTCAGTTCACAGATAATCTGGGATAAGCAGGATGGGCCAGGTCTTTGCTTTGGTTTTTGAAGTATCTGTTAGCTCAACTACCATAGCATTCCACTAATTTTTGTAAGACCTATTACATTTGTGGAGCTGTTAATTTTTTTTTAAAAGATTTATTTATTTGTGCATACAGAACTGGGGCACAGGCCAGAGGCTCAGGGGCGGTTAGAGGCTTCACCAGAGATAGAGTGGGGAGCAGAACAGGCAGACCGATGAAGTACACTGCTGAGGGGAGCAGTGGGCAGGTCAGGAGAGGTCTGCCACGCCATGTGTTCACCTCTGTGGCAGGAGGGAATTGAACGCATGCAGAAGCGGCTTTAGATTCTCAGTGCTGTGCTTTAACCCACTGCACCACCAGGGAGGGCCAGGAGCTGTTAATTTAATTGTTTATGTCCACAGGCAGTCTTCAAGTTCTATTAACTCTTCCTACAGGGTATTCATACTTCCAGAGAACTAAATGAGGAGACCATTTGGTAGAGGAGGCCTTCTGATATCAATAATAATAAGGGGATATTCTGATATTGATGCTGAGTAATCATTGGGTATGTTAGTTTTCCAGAGTTAAATAAGTTAAATCAGTTACTACAAACTGAAAACTACAGAATTTTTTTTTCCTGTTACAGTTCTGGAAATCAAGATCTCAGATGTTAACAAGGGCCATGTTCACCCCAGAGCTTCTAGGGGAGAATCCTTTCTTCCCTCTTTCAGTTTCTAATTGTTTCAAGCATTTCTTCATCTCTCTAATTGCTGCCTCTATTATCACATGGTGTTCTCCCCTGTGTCTCTCCCTCTTCTTTGAGGACAACAGTCATTCTAGATTTAGGACCCACACTTAGCATGATCTCATCTGAATTGACTGCATGTGCAATGACCCTATTTCCAAATTAGAACATACTCAAGGGTGTCAAAGGTTACGCCTTTAACACATCTTTTGAACACAATGAACTCACACTAGTAGGTTTTCACTTTCATGACCTTATGAAGGGATCTTTGAGGGCGGGTTCCAGCCAACCCCTTAGCTATTAGCAATTAGCAACCTTTCAGCGAAAATTTGTTAAACTACCTTAGAGAGCATCATTCTGTAACTTATTTACTTTTTCTTCTTTTCTCATCCAGGTCTGTGAAAATATCTGTCCAAGCAGTTTTTACTTCCAAAGGCATTAAACTCCCTTAGTGCCACTCCCCAAAACTGCTGCTTCCATCACAGGATTTCTGTGGATAATTTGATTGATTCTCTTTTCCTACCATACTCAAATTTTTGTCACAGATACCACCTTTCCTCCCACACCACCCATATCCTCCAGCAGAATCTGAGCCTATTCTGTTCTAGAAGTGGGTATAATTTATCAAAAAGTACTTTTCAGATTTCTTGTTAGTGGGGTTAAGGAACTCAGACCCAAACCCATCAATGCATGACACTTTTCCAAGTCATAGAATTTGATTCCAGAAAGGCCATCTAACCTAGTGAAGGTAAGTAGAAAATTCTGTTGGGATTCTTCTTGAAATAGATGGCCTAACTTTAAGATGGTTCCCTCTGTTTTCTTGATTTGGGCAGAGGTGTGAAACCTGGAAATGCTGTAGTCATCTTGTTCCCAGCCTGGGATTTAAGCTGACAACTTTTGGGGGAGGAAAGTATTGGGGCTGTGGTTGACTGATGCTCAATCCATCATCACTATACCATGGTCATTTTCAATTATGTTCAAATTGCAGTTCCTGTTTCTAAGAATTGTTTGAATTAGGCTTTATGTTCGCTTGGTCTGAAAGCATTTTAATTGGTGCATCCAGATGGGTCTCTATGCACAAAAATAGATACAGTGGAAGTGACGGTGTGACGGTGATTCTCTTCAGGCTCCCAGGGAGTCTATTTTCTCTTGTAATACTGCAGAGGGCCCAGGCTCCATGACCTCATTTATAGAGGTCAGTTGCCAATTTAGCATCCCTGTAATTCCATGTAAGTCAGACCTCTGGTGCTTTCAGGCACATATAACTATGCCCAGGTGATCCTAGTGTCTTCCACAGTTGCCACCAAGTGGCTCTTTAATACTGGGCAAGAAAATAACGAGGGAAAAAGCACCGGGATAGACTGATTCTTGGACTTCTGAGACACAATTGGTTTTGTCAAGCAATGCTAAAGAGAAGTTATGGGACTTTCCAAACTAATGGCATTACAAACTTGTAACCTACATCTTTAACAATGCTCCATGAGTAATTTGGGGGGAAGAGGAAGAAATCTTTGAAGGTTAGTGATAATGAGAAAGAGTACATAGGGGAAAATGATGTGCCATTCATTACTCTCCCCCCTCTTTATAGCCACAATTTCAAATCTCCTTCACTCTCAGCAGAGAATCTCACCTATTTTCAGAAAAACATGAAAGAAAAAAAAAATCAGAGGATGTGGAGAAAAAGGAATTCTCTTGCACTGCTGGTGGGAATGCAAACTAGTACAACCACTATGGAAAACTATTTGGAGGTTCCTCAAACTGCTAAACATGGAGCTTCCCTATGACCCAGCAATCCCACTCCTAGCTATCTACCCAAAAGACACAAAAACACTGATTGAAAAAGATACCTGTACCCCCATGTTTATTGCTGCTTTATTTACAATTGGAAAAACATGGAAGCATCCCAAATGCCCAAAAGTAGATGACTGGATTAAAAAGATGGTACATATATACAATGGAATATTACTCAGCAACCAAAAAAGAGAAACACATGTCTTTTGCAGCAACTTGGATGGAGCTGGAAAAGATCATGCTTAGTGAGATAAGCCAGAAAGAGAAAGAAAAATACCGGATGGTTTCACTCATAGCAGGAGTATAATGGACCAGGCGAGAAAATAACAAAAATAATGAACAACCATATACCAGAGACATTTTGTGGGGGTGGAGTGGGGAATGGGTTTAAAAACGGGGGAGGGGGGGGCGGGTAGGGAAGTGCACAGGATTATGGTGATGGCACACGGGTGACTTGGTGATGGGAAACCCGTGGGGATTACAATTGAGATGGAAAAAAATGTACAAAATTATGTAAAAATAAACTGTTGTAAAATAAAAAAAAGAAAATCAGAAGCTACAATCAACATCCAAAAAGATAGGCTTACCAGTAGCTATTCTAACCAAGTGAAGTGTTTGGAAGAAAAAGGCATCCTGTCTAGCCTCTAGGCTTGGGGTGTACCCAGCTGGGCACACAGTGAAGCCCAAAGAAAGGGAGGGGTGAGAACTAGAATAAAGAAGATAAGGTAATACTCCCCAACAATAAGAATTAGAGAAGCAAGAAATGAGGCCTTGGGCAAAAACCTGGTGAATAACTATTAAGAACATACCAGAGTAGGCCTGCCAGCCCTTTGGTGTCCAGTCACAAACCGCTCTGTCTAGACAGCTTAGTTCTGTAGGACACCTTAGATCTGTAGGGCAACATCCGAGATCCTCCCTGTCCACTGTGCCTGGACTTAATAGGGCAAGCAAGGGCCAGAGGCTTGGGAGGCCCTTCTAGTTGTCCCGTTGCTGGATTATTTTAAATAGTCTGCTCGATGCACAGAACAACATTTTCCGTGCCTCGCCCTTTGCGGTGGGGAGAGTGCGTTCCAGAAAGAGTACTCACACCAGAGAACTGGGATGGAGGAGGGGAGCTCAAACCGCCAGTGAGAATTTGCCGGGGTGGGGCAGATTCTGGGCCAACCTGTGAGTCTCAGGGGCGGGACTGAAGAGGGAGAAACTCCAAAGGACCCCTAGGCTGCCGTCCCGCCCGCCCTCCCTCCAGCCACGGGAGAAGGCCAACTCCGCCTGCCTGAGTCACCGCTGGAGCTGGGGAGGAGCCGGGGAGAGGTCGCCCCAGCCCAGAGCGCAGCCAGCGGCCTTAGGGAGAACAGACAGGGCAGTCAGGGAGCATGGGGGAGAGCGCGCTGGAGCCGGGGCCCGTGCCCGGAGCACCGACTGGGGGCCCGGTGCATGCGGTGACGGTGGTGACCCTGCTGGAGAAGCTGGCCTCCATGCTGGAGGCGCTGCAAGAGCGGCAGGGGGGCCTGGCACAGAGGCAGGGCGGCCTAGCTGGCTCGGTGCGCCGCATCCAGAGCGGCCTGGGTGCGCTGAGTCGCAGCCACGACACCACGAGCAACACGCTGGAGCAGCTGCTGGCCAAGACAGAGCGCGTGGGCTCGCACGCGGGGGTCGCCCAGGAGCGCGCCGTGCGCCGCGCCGCCCAGGTGCAGCGGCTGGAGGCCAACCACGGGCTGCTGGTGGCGCGCGGGAAGCTCCACGTCCTGCTCTTCAAGGTCAGTGACCTCGGGCGTCCCCGTCGCTGTGCCACCTCTGGGGGTGCCCCCTCCCTTCTGCCTACCGCACCCACATTCCGGATCCCGACTTCTGCCTCCGGCAGCGGCCCGACTTCCTGAGCTTTGCCCACCTCCCTCCCCGAGGCCCGTCCCTCCTCCTGCGTCCCCACCCAGCCTGGCCTATCCTAGTACCCCGCCTTCGGCAGGCGCAGGCCACGTCCCCTGAATTTGCTCCAGGTCCGGGGCCCATCCCCAAAGGAAACTAACGGTGTCGAAAGTGCCTCCTCCACAGTTCGTTGTTCACCCAGTTCCTGCCCCTGCGGCCACCACCCTCTCACCTCCCTGGCCGCTCTGGCCTCCTTCACAAACTTATAAAAAGCCCCGAGGCACGCCTCCTTTCTCCAGCCCGGCTCCCTGCTTTACCCCGAAACGGTTTTTTCTACCCATTCGGGACGCTGAGGTTAAGAGTGGGCGGGCTCCCCTGGCGTGATTTTGGGGGAGGCAGCGGGTGGTGGGGTCTAGATGCTGCTGGGATCAGTACTGTGTCCATCCCATGCAGGAGGAGGCTGAAATCCCTGCAAGCGCCTTCCAGAAGGCGCCAGAGCTTGCGGATCAGTCGGAACCCGGCCCTGAACAGCCTGAGGCCGAAGTTGGGGAGAGCTCTGACGAGGAGCCCTCAGAGTCCAGGGCCCAGAGGCTGCGACGCAGCGGGTTGCAGAAGGTACAGAGTCTGCGTAGGGCCTTTTCTGGCCGGAAAGGCCATGCAGCGCCATCGCCCATGCCGGCCAAGCCACCTCGCCTTGGGCCTGGACGGAGGGTTGATGGCAAGACCGAGACCCCCTCTGAGCTGGAGTTGAAGCCCGAGCCAGAGTTGAAGCTGGAGCCAGAACCTCCGCAGGACATGGAGGAAGATCCCAGGAGACCTGGGCCTGCTGAGGCAGCTGTGCTCCAAATAGAGAGTGCAGCCTGATGTCGGGTTCTGCCAACTCCCCACCCCAACCCACCCTGATTGTGCCTAGGCTTACTCCCAGAATAAATCTTCCTGTGAGAACCCAGCATTCACGCCCAAATAAGGCGCTAATCCTGCATCCACTGTGCTGAGCTGGATTTCCTTCCCAGTCCTCTGCAGTCCAGCACCCCCTTGTCCTCGCCATCAATAAAGCGATTTCACCTAATCCAGACTCCACGTGTAGGGCTGGGTGTAGGGGGTGGGGGCAGAGCAAGGAATAAGGCAGATATTGGGGTCTGGAATGTGACTTCCATTTTAAGCAGATCATGGTAGGATTGCTCCAGGCCCAGAATCCTGGGTTCTACTCTACTTACAACGGTCTGGATGGCCACTTGTTCCTGGAGTGTTTTCCTCAAGGGCAAATACAGTTATTTTTTCAACCCCCAGTACAGTCCCTTGCTGTAGGGGCTTAATAAATTTTTAGTGGTTTTCCTCCTAGTGTCTTCTTTCTCTTAAAGTATAATTATACCGAATTCTGATTTCAGTTCTTTTCTTGGTCTGGGTACTCCTGCTTTGAAAAGGTCTATCAGGCCCTCCCTGGTGGCTAAGCTGGTTGAAGCACAACATTGGGAAGCTAGAGCCACTTCTGCATGAGTTCTATTCCCGCCTGCCCCGGAGGTGACCACATGGTGAGGCAGACCTCTCCTGACCTGCCTGCTGCTCCCCTCAGCAGTGTACTTCATCAATCTGCCTGTTCTACTCCCCACTCTGTCTGCAGTGAAGCCTCTTGCTGCCCCTGAGCCTCTGGCCTGTACCCCAGTTCTATATGCACAAATAAATAAATCTTTAAAAAAAGAAAAAAGAAAAGATCTATCAGCCACACAACACTCCAGACCACTGCCTGAGCTACTATTGAAAAGTACTTTAATGTGTCCAACAGAAGCAACCTGTCTTCTTTTAATTACCTTGAATTTCCATTTTATAACTTTTGTTGGCATTTCTTAGGCATCATTCAAAATTACTCCTGTTTTGCTTTTTTTTTAAAACAAATGAATGGCATCATCTACCCAGAAACCTTGGGGTCTTCATTACCCCCTCCTACTTTTGCTCTCCTGTCATGGGTAAACAGATGATCTACTGATTTGACTATTGCAGTCTGTCTCCTCTTTTTTTTTTTTTTAAAGATTTATTTATTTATGCGTATAGAGCTGGGGTACAGGCCAGAGGTGCAGGGGTGGTGAGAGGATTTACCAAAGTCAGAGTGGGAGCAGAACAAGGTTGATTGACAAAGTACACTGCTGAGGGGAGTAGTGGGAGGACCAGGGGAGGTCTGCCATGCCATGTGGCCAGGAATTGAACTCATGCCGAAGAGGCTTTAGCTTCTTAGTGCAATGCTTTAACCGGCTGCACCACAGGGAGGATCCCAATAGTCTGGCTACTTTAAATGCCCAATTTCATAGCTCTATTTCAGGCCTTACCTGACTATTATTTGACCCTCCTAATTCAGTTCCTTCAGGGGCTTCCCATCACTTTCACAGTGTACAAGCTCATTAACATATCATCAAGGTCCTTTGTGATCTGCCTGTTTTAGTAGCTTCACCTCTTGTCACTTCCCCTCATTCTATTAATGAACCACAGGAGCTGTGTGCTCTCACCCTCATATCTACCATCCTTCGAGTTCAGCAAGGTACCCCAGTTTCAGGTCTGGGTGCTTCTATCTCTTCTCCCAGAGACCTGCTTGCACACCTTAGTGTTGACTCAGGAAATGTTTGCAATTGCTCCTCCCACTCCACTAGTCTGTGGCTCCTTTGCAATAGAAACTTTTTTTCACATCTTTATTTCCTATGCCAATACGATGCTTGATACACAGTAGGTTCACATAAAGCAAGAGCCCATCACAAAGGTGAGAGGTCAGGGGCTTAGCTGAGAAGGGAGCAGGGCCATCTACCCACCCATTCCATCCACCACTACTTTTTGTATAAGACATTTCTGAATATTTACTGGATTCCAGGCTCTATGCTAGATCTTGCAAACAAGAGGACAGTCACTTCTAAGGCCTTTGAGGACCTCAGAGTTTATATAATTATGATAAATGATGTATGGGCAGTGGTGGTTATTCACAGGTTTGTTTGAGAGGAAAGGGAAGGGACAGAACCTAGCTAGAAGGAAAAAGTGGATGTGAAAAAAATAAGCAATGAGAAGGAAAATAGAAATGGTGTCGGGCAGTAGAGCACAATGGCTAATAATTTGAATTGTCAGTTCTCTCATCTATAAAATGAGGAAATGATAATTTCTATTAGGGGCTGTAAGAAATAAAAGACACAAGTGCCTAGCACAGTATCTGAAAGATAGTTAATCTGAGATATTTAATTTGCCCTTCTTCTCATCATTCAGTAAACATTTACTTAAATTTGAGTGTCTGTTGGGTATTATTTTAAGAGCCAGGGATAAAGAAGAAAGGCACAATCTCTGCCTTCATGGAGCTCAATTCCAGTAAGGGGATGGACAATAAACAAGTGAGCTTAGAAGCCAAATAAAAACAAATTAACATATAAACTTGAAGGCCTTCTGACTATGGACTGAAGCAAAGGAAACAGCATATATAAATATAGATAATGACTGTGGCCCTTAGACAAGGGTATTGGAAATTTATCGTGGGACCAGAGTTCAAGAAACGTAAATTCCCACCTCCCACTGATTTATAAGAATCCAAGCTTCTAACTCAGAAATCAGGTCATTCACTTTGGAGCTCCGCATTTCCCTTGTATGCTTATAAGGGGCTTCACCCCACCTTGGCTCTGACTTGACTGTTACTGCTCTTACAACCACATGATGCCACTGTTGGGTTACCAGTGCCCTCATGATGCCTCATCTAACAATTCTGAAAGTCTGTCCAGCTCTGAGCCCAGTCAGGCATTCTGCAGAAGCTCTTCTGCCTCTGAAGAAACCTAGGGCTCTTCTTGCAGACTTCGAAGCCTTGTTGCCTAGACTGTATGGGCTTCCCAGCAGCTCTCTTCAAGGTTCTGACAACACGGAGAGTTGAACAGATTCAGTTCTGTGCCCAAGAGAAATCAATTCTTGTTTTCCCCCCAAGTAATTAGCAACCCACCCAACCTTTCCTTTCAACCCACACACAAAGTTAAAGCCCAAGAGCATATTTCTTACATAAAATATTTTGATGGTTCATAGGAAAGCATGTGGAGGCTCAGAGAACTTGGACCTTGACCTCTAGGAACCTGAAATTTTGGCTAACTCTTGTGGGAGGAATGTTATTTTTTTTATTACTTCTTGATGCATCTGCAGCAGAAAATAATAAATATGAAGTTAAAACAAGTTAATTAATTTTTTAATGATTCCCTTTTTTATATAGTACATTCTCCATTCTCATCACTAAAGTCTTATCATTAATTATTATTATCAACTAAAAAGAATGGAGACACTAGCACAATGCTAACTTGTCAGGCAGCATAGAACAGTTAGGAGGCTGCTTTAAGTGGGGGGTGGCAGGAAAAGAGGCATACTGCTGGACTAAAATTCAGAGTCTGGCTCTCACATATTCAGGCCAGAAGCACAATGCATTATGCTTTTCAACATGATAAGTTTGAGAGGGATTCATTTGCAATTACCCAAACTGGGAAACACTGATTAACTTGAGTGTTTTGTGTGCTAGATTCATTAGCTTCCCCAAGAACTAAAAGTAGCTAAGTGAATTAGAATAATGGTGTTAGCTAGCCAGAACAGGTTCTGCAACATGGAAGCCAACTGCAATCTTAAAGTGTTGGGAAGCAGAATAGTGGTAAGAAAATGGTCAAGACCATCTATCCGTTTTCTGCTGTGATAATCCTCCTACATAGAATATACACATTCCTGGTGAGAAACTTCTTCCCCTGTCAAGTGTTGAAGATCTCTTTGACTTTCCTTTCTTGAGAGTCGAATCATTTAATGTCAATATTGACAGGAACTGAAAAGCCATTGATCCACCTGCATTTTTGTTACCATCTCTGAGCCTGACCTTAATTGGCCTCAACTTTAGCCAAACCCAGGGCGGGGTACTTACTTGGGCTCAGCCAACTCTGTTTGAACAACTTTGCTGCTAGGGAACTTTTCTTTATACTTGTTAAGGGGAAGGATGTCCTAAAGTTGCTGTGCAGAGTTTTGTGACTCCATCCTGTATTCCAGCTTTCTGGACTCTACCCTCTACTCCAGTGATTGGAAACTACAACTCCCAGCAGTACCAGGAAGAGAACTGTGAGGACCCAAGGGCAGAACTAAGCAGGCATTCTGAGACTTTGGGGGATAAATAGGGTACCATTTGCTAGGAGCTTTCTTGCTTGGGGAAAGGGCGCTCAGGACTATGGACTGGGGGCTTTTAGTTAATTTATTACCAGAGCTTCAAGTCACTTGTGTTGATAAGATATTTCAGTTACTTTGTGTCCCTCTCTCTTTCCCTGGGTTGTTTCCTTTTCTTTCCCCTCTTTGTAAATAAACCCATTACTGACCCTTTTGTGTGTGCTTGCAGTCCAACTGAATTTTAAGCGGGTGGGTGAGTCCCCACAGTCAGGAGGCCCAGTTCACACTGGGCTGCCCTGTAACATACTGAGATCAAAACCTATCTTTATGGTTTCCATATTTGGCAATTAACTTTCCTTCAACAATAACTGTACAACAAAATCCTTTATTTTTTTAAAAACAGATTTATTTGTGAATACAGAACTGGGGTACAGGCCAGCGGTGCGGGGGTGGTAGAAGATTCACCAGAGATAGAATGGGGAGCATAACAGGCAGAATGATGAAGTACATTGCTGTGGGGAGCAGTGGGTGGGAGGAGAGGTCTGCTGCGCCATGTGGGTCACCTCCCAGGGATTGAGCTAGTGCTGAAGCAGCTGTGGCTAGCTTTGTAGTACTGCACTTTAACCCATTTTGTCACCAGAGAGGACCCCAAAATTCCTTTATTTCTATGCTGTATATATCCTTGGAGTTCAGCTCCTGCAGGGCACAGGGATGGACTCATCTACGACTCCAGGCTTATTATTCACCACACATTGTACTGTGTTCACCAAATCTGGACCATAATTTTGTGAATTGTTTTTTAGTTTGCCCGTACCTAATTTAAATAGGGAGGTGGCAAGGTGTATGGAAAAACCAAGGCCCTTTTATAGCAACCAAATATGTGAGGGACATATATTTTATAGGGACCAAATATCCCAAAGATACTTGATCTGGTCA